TGAAATGCACTGTTAAGTCTGGTTGTGTGCCATACTTAATTGCATATCTATGCCATTACTGCATATCTGTGCCATTAATATTAATTTGGTATAAAGCTATATTTAATGGGGAAAAAAATGCATGTAACCTTGATACAACATTTTTAAAGAAGTTACCTGCATAACTATTAACTTCGAAGGGACTACTACATGTAATCAGAAACATTTTTAATACTTAGCAATTTTTAAGTTTAAATGACCTGGATTTAAATTATTTTTTAATCGAAAGACTACCGAAGCAAGAAGACTAGCAATATAACCAGTATGCATTGTCTCTTTTCCTCATTAGCTCTACTGGTCAGAGACTAGAAGAGCTTATGCGATAGTAAGGTGTCCGTCGTCCGTCCGTCTGTCTGTCTGTCCGTCTGTAAACAATTTTTCAAAACGCTACTCCTCCTACAGTTTTGGTCCGATTTCAACATAACTTGGCACATAAGTAGACTATACTAAGATACATAATTCTGTGTATCGGTTTTTGATTTCAATGTTGCCAAGGTTACTAAAAATAGAGATTGTTAGGAAATACTTTCAAAACGCTACTCCTCCTACGGTTTTGGTCTGACTTCAATATAACTTGGCACACAAGGAGCCTACACTAAGATACATCATTCTTTATATCGGTTTTTGAATTCGATGAATGGTGTTGCCATGGTTACTAAAAATAGAAATTTTCTTGAAATACTTTCAAAATGCTACTCCTCCTACAGTTTTGGTCTGATTTCAGTATAACTTGGCACACAAGTAGACTACACATAATTCTCTCTACCAGTTTTGGATTTCGATGAACATTGTTGCCATTGTTACTAAAAATAGAAAATTCCTTGAAATACTTTCAAAACGCTACTCCTCCTACACTTTTTGTCTGATTTCAGTATAACTTGGCATAGAAGTAGACTACACTGAGATGCATTATTGTTGTTATTGGTTTTATTGATTTTGTTGAATGATGTTGCCTTGGTTACTTAAATCGAACTTTCTGTAAAATTGTTTTAAAAGGCTACTCCTCCTACAGTTTTAGTCTGATTGCAATCAATCTTGCCACAAAAAGAGACTAAACCAAGGATCATTATTCTATTTATTGCTGTTGCAAAGTTTCAAGTCCAAGTGCTACTTTTATCTTCCTTTATAAGTACAACCAGTAGAGCTACAGTCTCATTAGAGACTTCTGGTTTTTGTATCTAGTTCATGGTTGCTTTAAGAATAAATTAACCAGCAATCAGCTACATATACAACGCGTCTATTGAAATATATAGGTCACCCAAGCATATTTACCACATGTGAGATGGTGTAATATTATATAATAAACACTCAGAAAGAAGTACTTCACTCAAGTACAAGTGATTGTGGTAGCCTAGTTCTTATAAGAGGCCCTGTTTTGATTTTTTTTTCTCAGTGCTGTGTTAAAACAGACGTTTAACATAGGAACTGTGTTCAAGCGACCCGTAATCACGAGTCCTGATGACATGACCTTGAAAACGGAGGTCAAGTGTCACGGTATGCGTTTGCAAGGTAAAGAATCCTCATAGCTATGGCGTAAGCAGCATGCATGGGTCAAATTTTAGGCACTTTACAAGACTGATGACGTCTCTCAAGTGGTTATGAACTCTCGAATGGGACATCAAACAACATAAAACAAACACATACATGTTTTTATTTATGACTTTGAACGAATGTTTGGTGACTGATATAGACGCTATAAAAATCACTTGAGATAACCATCATCTGAGCTGCTTTCTCAACAGAAGACTACTGAAACACTTCAGGTTAGACAAAACAATCACCTGACCCATTTTCTATTTTGAGCATGCGTGACAAAAGATCAGGCTAGACTTGGTCCCTAATTGATGACCAATAAAGATTCAAATCAAATACATGTACGTATTAAAAGATAAAACTATCTGCTTCAAAATATTTTATTAGGTATGAAAAGGTCATGAGCCTGTTATAGAAAAGTCCTTCTGCTTAACTGTACATAAAAAGGAGAGAAAGAGTGACATCCAGATATCAGTAGACACCAAGCTCCTGGATCATGAAACTTCAGTTTTTGCGCTAAAATTATTTAGAAGTTACACAGACCAAAACAAAAATGCTATTCACCTCTGTATCATAAAACACCTGTTGTCTGCATATTATGTTTATTTCAGAGGTTAATATGCATTAAATTCATTATAATATTATAATATTCATTAAAATTTGAACTTAAGGATGACCTTTACTCAGATGGCAAAATAATTCCACTGATGTAATATGAAAGACCACCCATTGACCATTGCAGACCTATGGTTGAACGTGCTAATTTTCACTTTCAAATATAAAGATAGTGATCTGTTTTTCATGCCAATAGCCTAATGAGGATTTCTCAACAAAAAAAAAAAAATTAGGAAAAATCCCCCAAAATTTTGCACTATGTCTAAGATTTTTTTCTTGGCAAAATACAACAAGTAATTAAATTCTTTGAGTCATGGAATGTAATGGAGACAATAAAATACACAATGAGAGATTGGGAAATGAACTTGCTATATACTCCTGTCCGAATTTCCTTTGTCAATGTTCTTAATCCTACCCATTTTAATCTAATATTACAGAAACCGAATGATGGAAACAACTATCTTTAGCTTCAATTTACTTATACATAACCCTAACCCTAACCCTGTATTTCCCATTTTCTGTTGATATCAAATTTATATCAGTGTTTTTTAAAAATGCCGTCTGGAATGGCTTTTGTTCATTTTTTCAGATCCCCCCCCCCCCCATTGCACACTTGCCAATTACTGAGATCGGCTTCGGCCGATCCCAGTTGATTTCATATGCGGCATCCGGCAAATTTAAATATCTGCGCACATATTACACCACGCACAACTTTTTTTACTAATGACTGACAGCTTCAAATAATTTTTTTTAGAACTTTTGAAGTACTAACAAACATTATTGTAAAGCATTTACCTTGGGATGCAGACGTTTATTCAGTTACATGGTGAATACACTTACATTATTCTTACATGCATAAGAATTTCATTCGGATGTACACTTCTCTCAAGAGTTCATTGGTGTTTCGGAAAGCAACGAAAATATTCAAGTCAAATCGAATCAAGAAAGCGCGACGCACATGTATCTTTTTCTATTTATAGCATTGTGGACATCTTTTATAAAGAAGTTTCCAATAGTTTCATGTTTTCAGTTTGGAAGAAATTTGAATTTTTCCGTTATGATGATTTAAAAAAAAAGTGCTTGACACATCAATTCGCTATTACATTACAGGAAATCACATAATTGCCCCCAATCTACATGTACCTACGATTACGTCGACGCTATCCCTAATTAGAGAATGTGTCGATTGATTTTCACACGGTTCATAATTCGTTTGGAGTTTAGTGGAAAACATTCATTGAGCAAATTACGTACAAGGTTATTCAAACTATTTTCTTAGCAGTAACTTTGCTGGAGAAATAGACGTCGGAACCGGGGATGGCGGGGGGGGGGGGGGGGTAGCCCCGTTTTTTGCAAAGATAGACATAATATATCATTGAAAATTGGGGCTTTGTCCCCAAACTTTTTTTTTTTTTGGTTCGTTTAGCCCCCCCCCCTTTTCAATCCTAGGGGAAATCTTCCTGAACATAATTTATGATCCTGTTAACAAAATCGTTTACAAAATTGACAAGGTGCATTCATGAATACTAAAGTTTTATTTCATTGCAACTTTAATTAAGAACTCTGGAAAAAAAATGAAAGTTAATTTATCTTCAGAGTAATTTTTCTTTTCAAAGGTTTAGCATGTTTGATTTCATGTCTCTTATCCCATTAAAAAAAGTCCACATTACATTTTTCAATGTTTTTCCGAAGAAAAAAAAACTTTTTTAAAGGTAGCATACTGCACGGGTCATATTTTTTCATATAACAACAATGCCCTCTTAAAATTTGTTCTATTATTTGAATTTGGTAAATTAAGAAAAGCATGTTAATATGGCTACCCTTTACACGCCGTACTCAGTTGAGAAATACTGTGAAATTAAAAATAATTATATATATACATACATACTCATAGAAAAAAATATTAATTTAAGTTAATTAAAAGGAAAAAGTTACTAACTTATTTCAAGACATTTCATAAAGCTGACTTTATGATCCCATTCCGATCATTCCTTTAAAAGGAATTCTTGTTTGAAATAATATGAGCTTTAACAAAAATAAACATAGATATCTAATTCTTATTGAAACATCGTTAGAATATTTTTGTCAAGAAAAAAAGATAATAAAGAAATAGGCCGAATTTCCTGTGCACTGCGCTGTGACCAAGTGAACGGTATATATATGGGGTCTGTACAGGTAACGAAAAATGCATTCAGTAAAAGGCGGACAAACATAGATGAATAGCGGTCAGCTTTAAGTCTAAGTCTGTCTCATGACCCCGGGGCCAGGTAAAGCGATCTCGTTGTTTCCTTTATCTGTTCCGGCGACACAATAACACAATATTTTTTCCGAGGCCAAGAGTAGTTTTGCGGTGTTTGGTGGCTGTATTTCTGGCACGTTTTTCGATCTGAATTCATATGATCTTTATTATAATAATGTAGTAGGGATTTTTACTTTCAAAAATTAAAATTAACCTACCCAGCAAAGTTCTAATGCCTTCTGACAATTCATGTTACATCAAAAATCTTTCTGGTGTTTTAGAAATCGGTTATTTTTCACATAGCTCTCGTTAATTTAACTTGACGTAGGTTTCGTAAAAATAATTAAGATTTTATTGAGTTATCTCTAATGTTCGTCTAAAATTCTCTCGTGAATCATTACAGGATAATTTTTCGATGCAATATAAATCTTAACCTTTTTCCATTTTGTCATTTTACTTCATTTCCCTGGTTTAACGATTAGTTTTCCCCCAGTATGCTTCGCAAGTAGTTTTGCGATTGCAACTGCAATTATCTTGTCTCATTCGAATTTAAATTGATATAGTTCAAAAATACCTCTCTCAATGGCCACGCAATTCTTCCAAACAATCCTTAAACTAGTTGAAGCATTTGCATCGTAGACGACAATGATCTTAAAATTGTAACTTCTTCTTCCGATGAAAGAGAATTTCTTTGTGCCATAACTTCTGCAATAAGTGGGAAATATACTTTCCAGAAGCTGGACTTAAGTGTACCTTTGGCAATGCAAGGTATAATGAAGCTGTTGACATGAAATATCATGAAAAGTATATCAAAGAACACATTTGTTCACTGTATTGAATACATGCATAATGAACTACTGTAATGAAGAACATGATGATATTTTTGTTTTAGAAATATTAATTATTATTATATGATTGAATAATTCTGATCTCTGATTGGCTGAGATCCAACAATGTAGAAATATTCACCTGCACGTGACCTTCCAGATGAATATAAAGATCTATTTTCTCTGCACTGGTCTAAAAATAGATTGGGAAATTCCAAATTGATACAAATAGCTTTGCAAAGCTATTTCACTTGCTACCGACTTCCACTCAGGTGAACATAACATAAGGAAATATATAATTTGGGGTGGGGGTGGTTGGGGGGGGGGGGTGCAGGGGGATGTCCCCATCCCCCATCCAAAACACTTTTTTTCTGAATGCAAATTTTTACGTTTAATTTACACTAAAAATATTCATTGAAAGGCTGGTCCCCCCTAACGGACCTTAATCTCCCATCTCTAACCTAACTCCAGCCCCAAAACAAAATTTGAAGTTAAGGGAATTCTCTTTTCGTGAGAGCTAAAGAGCTTATCAAAGATTTTTTTTCAGTTGTCAGTTTTCCCTGAAAATGCCCCCCCCCCCCCCAAAAAAAAATTGATTCTTTAAAAGGGCCTGATAAAATGTCTTTTTTTTCCATAGCAACTAAAGTAGATTTTTAAAAATCAAAATAATATGACTGGTAATGTTTATTTAACCCTGTCTCCCTCATTGCATTTGGCTAGGACTTCAGCAAATGTAAACGTCAAGTAAGATGGTGCAATGGCATGAACTGCTTAATGAGACAGTTTGTATCATTGAATCATATAATAAAACAATTATTGCTGTTTTTGAGGTCAATACGATGATTTAGCCACCTTCAAAGTATAATATTCACCTCGCCCTTTGGGATCGGTGAATATTGTACTCCTCAGGTTGCTAAATCATCTTATTGACCTCAAAACAGCAATAATTGTATATTATTACATTTCTCCGATTTTCTCGTCTCTGAGATAATGCCGATTCGGCGTAAGACATTAAATAGAGAATAATAGATACCCTTTTCCATAACACACCCTATATATCAGCCCAAATCACCAATATCTGCCAGAGGGCCAAAAGCCCGAGGGCTGATACAGGATGTGATATGGAAAAGGGTATGTTATATTATGTATATTACATACTTAGTAATAACATACAGCATACATCTACTCAAGCAAGTACAAATAAATAATCAAAGACTACCTTACGATATCAAATTCCAGTAAAATTACATGTAAATACACATTTTTTTCCTGAGAATTTAAAAAAACAAGAGGCCCAAGGGCCTTAACGGTCACCTGAGTATAATACAACAATTTAGAGGATCCATAGAGTATAAAATGAACTGAAAGGTAAAGCTTTGTTGCCCAAAAGCAAGAAAAATAGGGTGATCAGGATCAACAAAATAATTATTCACTGATAGTTTATGAATTAGGTTCTAATCTGTTCCCCATTTACCACTATCACTATACAGTGTATTAAAAACCTATCAGTGCTTCTGTACTATTATAATTTCTTGTTCAAATCTCTTACATTGGCCTCTCTTGGTCTTTGATAAACATTTAATAAGACAAGTTATTTTTGTTCCATTTTTATTTATCTATTACTTACAAGTCTATCTGATCATTAAAACTATGAAAATACTTTTTGTATTATACAATAAAAATTCTTGCTTAATTCTCTTATTCTATTAACCTTTCAAGTACATTGTTTACAGTGATTAATTATCAAAAGTAAATGGCAAAGGGGAATAACTCCTCTCAGTAGCATACAAATTAATAGAGCCCTGGCCAGGACTAGAACACTTGAACAAATGGTCCAGATGTTCAAAATCTGGTAAAAATACCCTTCCTTTTTAAAACTTTTAATCTTTTGCCTCTGATATGCCCAAGTGCAGAGAAAATTTTTAAAGAAATAATGAAGTTTTACTTCAGATTCACTATATTATCAATAGAGCCCCCCCCCCTCCCCACCAAGAAACACTAGAGTCTCTCACCCTGGGACCAGAAGTTTGCTCATCATAAGTAATCACTTTGTTTTTCTGCTTAACACTAAGGGGCAGACAGGATTATTTAATAGAATTAATGCATTTTCACTATATTATCAAGAGCCCCACCCTTACACCAGCACATCTGACCCGGGTCATGCAATTCACTACTCTGGAAGAAGCACTCTTGCTCATCATAACTATATACTTAGCTTCTTTGCTTTTTAACCAGAAGCAGAAAAGAATATTTTCAAAGAAATTTTGCTTTTTCACTATATAATCAATAGAGTCCCCCCCCCCAACCTTTTCACTAGAACCCTTAACCCTGGGACCATGAAATTCACAATTTTGGAAGAGGCATCCTTGTGTATCATAACAATGTATTTAGTTTATCTAAATAGTACCCAGGGGCAGAGAAGAAGATTTTCGAAGAAAAAATTCACCTTCACTACAGGATCTATAATAGCCCCACCCTAGAACCAGAACCCCTGTCCCTGGGGCCATGAATTTCACAATTTTGGAAGAGGCATCATTGCTTATCATAACAATGTACTTAGTTTGTTTCAAAAATACCCAGGAGCAGAGAACAAGATTTTTAAAGCATTAATGCATTTTCACTATATAATAAATAGAGCCCGGCCCTAACATCAGAACCCCTGATTCAAGGGTCATGAAAATCACTATTTTGGAAGAGTCACCGTTCCTAATATCATAACTATGTATTTAATTAGTTTCAATAATACCCAGGAGAAGAGAAGAAGATTTTCAAAAAATAATGCACATTCACTATATGATCTGTATAGCCCCGCCCTAGCACCAGATCCCCTAGCCCTGGGGCCATGAATTTCACAATTTTGGTAGAGTCATCCTCGCTTATCATAACTATGTATTTGATTTGTTTCAATAATACCCAGGAGTAGAGAAGAAGATTTTCAAAGAAATAATGCACTTTCACTATATGATCTATATAACCCCGCCCTAGCACCAGAACCCCTGACCCTGGGGCTATGAATTTCACAATTTTGGTAGAGTCACCCTTGCTTATCATAACTATGTGTTCAATTTGTTTCAATAATACCCAGGTGTAGAGAAGAAGATTTTCAAAGAAATAATGCACTTTCACTATATGATCTATATAGCCCCCCCCCCCCCGCACCAGAACCCCTGACCCTGGGGGCATGAATTTCACAATTTTGGTAGAGTCACTCTTGCTTATCATAACTATGTATTTAATTTGTTTCAATAATACCCAGGAGTAGAGAAGAAGATTTTCAAAGAAATAATGCACTTTCACTATATGATCTGTATAGCCCCACCTAGCACCAGAACCCCTGACCCTGGGGCCATGCATTTCACAATTTTGATAGAGTCACCCTTGCTTATCATAACTATGTATTCAATTTGTTTCAATAATACCCAGGAGTAGAGAAGAAGATTTTCAAAGAAATAATGCACTTTCACTATATGATCTGTATAGCCCCACCCTAGCACCAGAACCCCTGACCCTGGGGCCATGAATTTCACAATTTTGGTAGAGTCACCCTTGCTTATCATAACTATGTATTCAATAATACCCAGGAGTAGAAAAGAAGATTTTCAAAGAAATAATGCACTTTCACTATATGATCTATATAGCCCCCCCCCCCCCCTCAGCACCAGAACCCCTTACCCTGGGGCCATGAATTTCACAATTTCGGAATTTCGGTAGAATCACTCTTGCTTAACATAATTATGTATTTAATTTGTTTAAACAATACCCAGAAGTATAGAGGAAGATTTTCAAAGAAATAATGCACTTTCACTATATGATCTATATAGCCCCCCCTCCCCACCTAGCAACAGAACCCCTGACCCTGGGGCTATGAATTTCACAATTTTGGTAGAGTTACTCTTGCTTATCATAACTATGTATTTAATTTGTTTCAATAATACCCAGGAGTAGAGAAGAAGATTTTCAAAGAAATAATGCACTTTCACTATATGATTTATATAACCCCACCCTAGCAACAGAACCCCTGACCCTGGGGCCATGAATTTCACAATTTTGGTAGAGTCACCCTTACTTATCATAACTATGTATTCAATTTGTTCCAATAATACCCAGGAGTAGAGAAGAAGATTTTCAAAAAAATAATGCACTTTCACTATATGATCTATATAGCCCCGCCCTAGCACCAGAACCCCTTACCCTGGGGCCATGAATTTCACAACTTTGGTAGAGGGCTCAATGCTTATTACAATCATGCCAACAGTTTGACTGCTTGATGTCCAGGAGTAAAGAAGAAGATTTTTAAAGATTGCATTAATTTTGGTGGTTTTAGCCCAACCCCTCAGGCCCCAGGGGGGCAGGGACCATGATATTCAAAAATTTTGTTCCCCTTCACACATAGATGCCATATGCTAAAATTGGCTGAAATTGGTTCAGCGGTTTCAGAGAAGAAGCTGAAAATGTTCAAATGTTAACAAACGACGCACGACGGACGACGCACGACGACGGACGAAAACAGATAGCAATAAGTCACCTGAGTGACTCAGGTGACCTAAAAATTAGATGTATTATCACAACTACTCTTTTTTAAATGTTTAATCTACAAGGGGTGTCTACAAGGGGTGTAATATAAATCCATATCAGCCCTGCAGGATCCGTATCAGCCCTGGAAGCTGATACGGATATTGTGACATCAGGCATATCGCACAGGGTGTTGCTCATACGCGGAACGGAAAACGGAACGGAAAGCGGAACGAAACGGAAAATATGATGTCAAGTTTTTCATTATGAACAGGTATAATTCAGACATAGGAAGCAGTATTCTTTATCTAATACATGTAGTTCAAATTCAATTAAAAATTATCGTAAAAATGTGATTTATTCATGATTTTTCCCCCTCAAAACATGTGGCATATACATGCAATGCTCAATAAAATACACATTAATTAGATTCACATCCCAATTATCTATCAGAATGTCTCATTTATCACTAATCCCTATTTGAATTTAAAAAATGGATTATTCGTTCAAAGACAAAATCATCATTATTGATGAAAGGGGCAATGTTGTTTTGAAACAGGCGGAGAGAAAGAGAAAGACAGAGTATATATACATTTGTGTTAGAGACAATTATCAATGGCATTAAGGATTTTTTTTCTAAAAAGTTTATCACAACTACAGGAGTGTTGATGCAGTCCACATGGACCTGAAACGGGGATTTAAAAAAGATAGCATAGATGTATATGACCAAATTGTTCAAAACAGCGCAAACTGATTGCACAGAATAACGTAAAGATGGATGGGGAAATTACATATTTTCGAGAAAATTTAGAGCTGTTATTTATATTTTAGTATTGGGTAGGGGGGTGTGCAGAGATGTACGTTATCCACGCTTAAGGTACATGCATACATGTACATATGCATTGAAAGTTATGAAATTTTTATTTTTCGCTCATACAGTTCATAAGGATATCGATAATCTGCCTTTCATATTGATCAGAGTGATCTTCAATAAAATTTCCCACTCATCCATACATGTATTTTACCACAACATGTTACATGTATATAATATACATATCATATATGTACGGCATTAGATATTTTCTGTTCCGTTTTCCGTACCCTTTGTCTATATGTACAGAGATCTTCATGAATAAGAGAATGAACATGACTAAATCAACTCGTATTTTAATAATTAAGGATAAAATATGTAAAATTTATATAACGTATACCGTTTCTGGTATGATTTTTATATTTTTAATGATTTAACCTGGAATCATTTTTTCCGTTTTCCGTTCTGTTCCGCGTTTTAGCAACACCCATATCGCACATGCAAAAACCTGCATTTATTACGAAGTATGTAATGTTCAATCTTTAAGGACATTCAGAATAGAATTAAAAATGAAAGGTAAATGTGTGCAACCCTTGTTCTCTTAGACTGCCTTTCTATCTAATAATTTCAACGAGGAATAAAAACCGCCTATTTTCTATGCATAAGTATGTGAAAAATATTCTATGTTTTGTCTTGAATTCGATGACTGCTGCCCTTAACTGAATTAAAAGCTTTTATTATAAATAGAATACTGATCGTCCGTAACAACAACTTCAATTTCTAACAAAAAATTGCATTTATAAAAAATATTTATTACCTAGTATAAAATTCTTTAAATGCTACTTGGCGCAAGGTTTCAGTTCCGTTGGTTTTTACAAAAGCCCTCACGATCCCAATAACATTATCGATTTTCAGGTCCATTCTACAGCATTTACCACTTCCAAGTATAGTTGAGGAGGTCATAATTACTGCAGAGCTGTTAAAGCCTACAAATATCATGTACACTTCATTTACAAATGAACAATCTGTGAAAGTATTTTCGAGAAATTAAGATATCAAAATAACTTAATTGCTTACCGTCACAAACAAATTCCGTGTCATTTTTGCAGGCTGATGTTGACCATATGGGATCTAGAGGGAGGAAATGGTTTTTAAAAAAACATAAAAGCTTTAAAATCATCAAAATATTTATTTATTATTAATCATTTTAGTTATCAAGCAGCGTAATCTTTATTGTGAAATCAAAATAAGTTTATAAATAATTAAAATCCTTTTATTTCTTTCAAAATTCGGAGAGAATAAAAGGAAGTTTAAGGAATTTATGCATTTGCATTTTATGATAAATAGAGCGACAACCTTGCCAATTAATCAAGTTTGTTTGCTAAAAACCCAGGGGAGAGATTTGTTTGAGTGCTTTTCTAACGTTACTTCGAAAAAGCTTCACTCATATTGAGACGCCACCACTTGCAGGTGGAGGGCTGCAAATTCAGAGTACAGTACTCGGCACATACGGTCTTTGAGCAGTGAGGGATCTTTTGCGTGCCAGCACCTACAGCGACCTCGATTTATACAGTCCTCGATTTATACTGTCCCATCCAGAGAACCGGTCTCCAAATCACACAGTGGATTTGAGTTCGAGACTTAAGGACATCTCCTTACTCCGCGACTTTTGAGCCAACGCTCTAACCACTGCGCCACGCGGACGACTCGATCCAAGGGGCAGAGATTTTCAGAGAATTAGTGCATTTTAGTACATAATCAATAGAGATCCTCCTAATACCAGAACCCCAGACCCAGGAGCTAAATTTCACAATTTTGAAGGAGACGTCCTTGCTCATCGTAACCATACAAATTGTTTCTCTGCTGAATCACTCTGTGACCAATAGAACCCCGCCCGAACACCAAAACCCCCGACCCTGGAACTAGGAATTTCATAATTAACGAAGAGGCAATCTCATCCCATATAATCATGCAATTGTATGTTTGTTAATATCCAGGGGCAAAGGAGAAGAATTTCAAAGAATTAAGTAATGAATTTTCACTATATAATGAAAAAAACTCCGCCCTTACACCAGAACCTCTGACACAAGGACTATAAATTTGACAATTTTGGAATAAGCACCCTTAGCTTGCTCATCAGAATGTTTACATTTTCACTATATGATCAATACAGCTTCGCCCTAACTCCAGGCCTCCTGGCCCTGGGGCCCTTAAATCCTCGATTTTGGTAGAGGGTTCAATAGCTATTATAATCATACCAACAGTTTGACTGGTTGATGTCCAGAAGGAAAGAAAAAAGATTTTTAAAGATTACATAAATTCTAATGGTTTTAGTCCCACCCCTCAGACCCAAAGAGCGGGGCAATGAAATTTACAATTTTTGTATCCCTTCACCCGTGGATGCTTTATGCATAAATTGGTTGAAGTTGGTTCAGCAGTACCAGAGAAGAAACTGGAAATGTTCAATTATTAATGTACGACACGATGACGAACGAAAACAGATAGCAAAATCGTACAACAGTAAAAATCTTACAAACGAGCCTCAGACTTATTGGCATATTTAATCACATACATGTATCTTCTTATGAGATGACTGAGTATGTGTTTTGAGAATGTTGCAATACTTATTATTTTCACTGATTTAGATAAAAAGCTTTGTACATACTCGTCTTAATTTTTTTATTAATCATTATTCGTCTATGTTGTTTCCTTCTCCAAATAAGTTGTTACTTTTTCTGCTGAACATAAAATTGATATTGACATTTTCTACTTTCTTGGTTTGCAAAATTAAACCTTTCAGCTCACGAGCTAGGGGGGAAAGTATTAGCTCGCCAGATGTGGTGAGGTATGCCAAGTATGAATGATTTTAATAATTTAAACATAAAAACAAAAAATCGTCGATACTTGTCATCCTTTATCATGACAGTTATTTAAACGATAAAAAAATGGAAATATTAAATAAATATCTTTGTTCTGGCTACAATTATCTTGTGCAGATACCATTGAATTTATTCAGTGTTGAGGTGTGTACTACTGTTAAGTGATATCATCTAAATACACGTGGCTAGCAGGCTTGCAGACAGTGAGTTTAAATGTTTGCAAGGAAAAAAAAATCCAACGGTAGTGATTAAACCTAATCATAAGATTTAAAAATACCGTACCTGTTCTTATTTTCAGGCACTGATTTTAAATTGTTGCCAATTCTCGGAATATCCGACAATAAAGATCCTAAGGCCTAGTATCTAAAGATTTCCATATTCTAACGAAACGATTACAATTTTTGTAGTATCAAAATATTATATTGTCTTTTATAATATTATCTACATTTTTAATTATTATAATGAAATTAGAATAAGGGTAAACCAAAAAAAGTAAATAAAAATCCTTTTAAATTGTTATTACATGTACATATGGAGAGGAATTTAATTTTCAGCAAAAAAAATTCTTTTCCGCGACAAGTCATGCCATTATTCCACGATTTAAATGCCGTTATTTCACAATTTAATTTTATTCTTTTCCATTTTTGATTTCAATATGTACATTCACCCCTTTCGTTTGGAAACGTAAACCAGTGACTAAAATATCTACAGAATGAACTTTTATAACAGTTGCAATTGTGGCTTTGCACACTTTTCCTACGATATATTGCCACTATTGGTGAGAAACATCGCTATTCTTTAAACATTGTCTTTTCTTCACGTTTATCCAATGTACCATTGTACCTTGGTTAAGTATGCAAAATTTCCACTACGTCTGAAACTTATCACCAACTTGGCACTCTCATCTTTTTCATGCCAGCACGAACCTCGGTTTATACAGTCTCATCCGAAGGACCGGTCTCAGTATCACAGTGGATTCGAACCCGCGATGTAAGGATCAATTCCTTACTCCACAACCCTAGAGCAAACCCTTCTTTCTACATAGGTTTTATGCATTAATTTAAGAAGCAGTAGTATGTTTGGAGCATATATGAAAACACACTTAAAACATTCAATTTTACGTTCATTATACACGATAAAAGAGTCGTAAAAACTCAGTTTAAATAAATCAATATTTACTCGATAAGAAAGTTTCTCCCTGCTGGTTTTTGTATATAAATAGACCCGGAAAGCCATATATGTAAAATCCGGCAATATCTTCAGCCCTTAGCTAGTGAAGCAGAGTATTCTTAATATTAATTAAATTCTTATCTCCCGTTGTTCAGCCATTAATAAATGCATCATTTGCTTTTCTGAATAATTAATAATACTACTTCATGGAACTCACATATGTAATTTACGCTCGAGAGTTGATATTTTTCAGTTATATGGAGCAGTAAAGTAAGGTTAAAAATAAAAGACTATTTATGAACATTGCAATTATCCCCAAAATTGTAATGGCTAGAGTAAAGCTAGCATTGGAAATTTGCCGAATAGTAAATCTATAACCTAGATAGACAATTTATGAGTTATCTTAACCTGGTGCCAGACCTATATAAGGGGAGGAAGAGCAGTATAACTATTGTATCACCCAAAATCGACAAACTTGTCAGGAGGCGAAAAAATACAACAGTTTGTTAATAAGGCAAGTAAAGAAATTCCGGTGCATTGTAATAGTTCCTTATTATTTATTGATTGCAGTATCAGGCTGTCCGGCACTGAGACAAAAAAAATAGGGCGAATTTTTTTTTTCACAAATAATACTTCAAATGCAAGACATTAGTACAGCAAGGGCATCTTGACACTGGTCATATGCCTTTCATTGCATAATCTAAGCAAGAGGCCCATGGTTCACAACGCTATCTTGAGTCCCTTTGGGTCAGCATTTTTAAAATTTCCCTCTTTAATTTCATAAATATATGTACTAAGACTCCATGTTGTGGGCTAAAATCTAGACTATGTGTGTGTGTGTGTGTGTATATGTATGTATATATAGAATTTCCTTTAGAATTGAACATTTTTCAGGAATTTTAGCGAAACTATTTTTTTCAAGAATTTTAGAACGCTGGACAGCCTGCGTGCAGTCTATTAATCCAGTGTGGTAAAAATTCAAATATTCAGCCAATATCGCTTTTAAAAAAATCCATTTCTTATATATACATGTACATATAAAAGCATATTTTTTCATGTAGGTAATACATGTACATTTGAGAGGAAATCATCATTTGCTTGTCATCTAAGAGCAATATTTTTAATGATCTATATTATTTGCTTGTCATTTGAGAGAAAAACCTTATTCTTTTGAATTTAACAGTTATATGTCATTTAATTTTAAAATCAAGTTTATACAAATAAAATTAAAATAATTATATTTTATATTTGATTTAATGCACTCGGTATTATAGAATCTTTATTAAGCCTACCAATATATAAGAACAATTGAAATAACTAAACAGGTGTTTTCCTGATGATACACCCTGGTATTCAACATGTACTTCTATACTGATCTGAGAAAATTCAACATGTACTTCTATACTGATCTGAGAAATCTAAAATTCATGTCTTTTATTTTTACCCTCTCTCTAAATGTTCAGACATACAGTGTGTACCCGGATTACGTAGATTAAATCCGTCATTTAGTTTCTTGCAGAGTTAAGTTTAATTTACAGTTTTAACCAGCGAACATTTTCTTTCATACTTTAATACTAAATATACAACGCGAAACTTTGAATCTTTTCGACATGTTGGATTGGAATAGATAAAAAAATCTTCCTACCAGTCAAATAGATGATCAAAGTTGGGAGTCCATAAACAAGCGAGTCGCCCGTGTTATTAGTGTTGATCACATACGTACAGATACTGAGTCCTGTTTGAGTTCTATCCACAAACAGTTGAGAAATGTCAGTGTCTGTCATCTCTAATTCTGTTGCCTTTCCATACGCCGAAGTAAAATACGCCTCGCAATTAGATTTAAGGTCATATTGTTGCTTTTTACTAACCGTCATATTACCCAGATGTCTCGGAATTTCGAGTTTCACTGTACCTAAACTTTTGCCACGAAGCGCAGGAAAAAAACCGTCCGCAGTAAATCTGACAAAGTCCACTGTCTCGTTAACAGGCTCTATGTACATTAGTTGCAGTGTTTGTATCAGAGGCTCTTGACTCAAAAACTCATAATCCGATAGGCTATCTCCTACACTGATGATAAGCACTATAAACGATCTCAAGAAATCCATCCTCCGCTACTGACAAAACCGATCTGATGATTTAGCCTCATCAACACACGATCACAATTAAACATGTAGCTTGTTGGGTTTTGTTCTCATATTGCATTAATTATTCTGTCAATAAAAATGTGATTGATGCTCCATTTTTGGAACTGACAATACTTTGATGTAAATATTTAATTACATATTTCTTTTCGCTGTTTCTGATGTGATAACGTCTACTTAAATGATTTATTGAAGTGCATAGACACAAAATGATTGTTAGATACAATCCTTGCTAAAGGTTCAATAAAGTGTATCTTCAGTAACAATTAACGTTGTGTTACACAGCTGTTATATGAAATGGCAACAACAGTCAAATATTTTCGGCGCATTTAATATTTAATCAGTATTTTCAATTAGCTATTGTAAGTAAAATATGCTATATCATCGTCGACTGCAATCACTCTTTTAAATTCATATGTCACTATGATACTTACTTTGTTATATTTAGTAAAACGAAATATTTTCCCAAGATCTTTCCCTTTGGCCTCTTGTGTATAATCAAATCACTTGATATTCAGACTTAAAATTCAAATTTTTAAGGAATTAAAAAAAAAAAAAACAAATAAATAAATCGAGCTCAAATAGAAATGGTGCATAGTATACGAAAGCAAAGCTATATAATATTATCACATTTTCTTTTTCTCACCTTTTCAGATGTGTGAGTTACCAGTGATGCTGGAAGTCAGTGGTTAGGGAGCCAGGAAACAGTTCCATCCAATGTATTCATGAAAATGGATCAAATAAGAAATTAAATGTTCAATCCAAAAGTAACATTTTTTGTCAACACCTTTTTGCTGATGTAAAACAAACTAATAATTAAATTCATTCTTGACATACAAATTCATAATTAGATAGTGGATGAATATGACACAAATCTTTATATTCTACATTTTGAAGTGTCATACAACAAGGTCATTAAATATAAATCAAATTAATTTCAAAATGTTAAAATGTTCTCTCTTTTTTTTTTTGAAGATAAAAAGAAAACATGTAGTTTAACACAAAAATTTTATATTTCACTCTTTATTATGTTATCACCGGTGACTCTGTAAGTGTCAGTATCCTACTTTCTATCAAAGTTTGAATGTTTTGAAAGGCATTTTATAAATGATCATGTTAAATGAAGGATATCGCACACGATTTTGCCTTTGTGCCCATGTTCTCTTATTCAACAAAAACGTGGTCCCGATTATATAAATTAACTCCGTTTTTGCCAGTGCAGTGATCTTTGTGTAAAGAAGAACTTCCATAGGATCGCCATTAAAAAATTCTGCCAGTGAATTCTAACATGCCCAAATGATGTTTTGGTCAAGGTCATGATATACCTGAAGCTCACCAATAAACCTTGAGGTACAGAGGTAGGTATAAACACTTTCAATGTTTCTTTGTAAGAAAGTTATAGACTGGTCACAAATGTATTTTTTTTTTCTGCCAGTGACCTTGAACTTGTTCAAATGAACCTTGGTCAAGGTCAAGACATATTCCAAGGCCAAAAGCAATATTTGTATGTTGTTTAACGTCTCGTTCGAGAATTATTCACTCATTTAAAGACAACATCTGCTTTAGATGAAGTGCCAAAAATTTTGACCTATGGATGACGCCTAGGACGGTAGCATTGGGGTATCATTATCGTGCTAACGCCTACAGGGGACCTCGGTTTTCAAAGTCTCATCCAAAATACTGGAAGTGACTTTTACTTCTAGTTTGACCTCCTGATCACGAAACAAGCACCAGGCTGCTACCACATAAAAGCGGATGTGTACTGAACACAATGGCTGAACTATTCCCCTTTTTTCAAATTGATTGCTATTCTTAGACTAGCAGCAGCTTTGCTATAATGAAACAAATGATATAACTAGTATATGTTTGACATCATGCACATTTGTAACGTCAAAAGCGTCATTAAAACGCAATAAGTTCATACCCAGCTATTGGAATATATATTATATCTTTCATATTGTGAATATTTGGTTCAAAATGTAGATGCATAAATTGTCACGTTGAATATAATTATAGGTTGACATTATCTATTGTCATCCAATTCACTGGTATCGTTTTCAGCATCTTTAGCATCATGCGTTAACATGTGTAGAATGTTTTATTATATTTCCTTGTCTACTTTCACTTTCTACATTTCTTCTTTTTCACTAATTATTATTTGTTTTCCGCTGGTTTGTACTTCCATTAAAAATGGCAAGTATATAAGAAATATATTTTTGACATTATTTCTTTCGTTGTCTACGCGCAAAAACGTTAAAAATTGAATACGAGAGTTGTCCTATAAAATCGTTGACAAGTTATCTAGAGTGAAAAATAATCATTACTGCGTTCCAAACTTTGGTACATTTTTCATCAATATACATTGCAAATTTCAAATAGATATATGCTCAAATAAACAAAAGGAACGACTTTACTTTACCGGTCCCCAGAAAAACGCGCTAAAATATAGTGTCTCCGTAGGCGACTTCAGTATATATGAGATCGCGTGAGCGATCGAAAAATATTAAAAGTATGAGGATTTTAGCCTTTTTGACCCCAAAATCGAATTCTACGGATAAAAGTTTAGTTTAAAACTTCGTTTTTAAACGAAGTTTTTAACCATGTTTTCTGAAAAAAAGTGATTAATATTGTTTATTCAGTGAAAAGGAGACGAAAAATAATTGTCAACGAAGCGCGTGCGGCGCATGCTTAGTGCCGTTTCTTTCGTACTTAGCCAATTTTTTCATGTAAACAAACCAAAGAGATTCGTGAAAGCTGAATTTAGATCTTGCAAAAAATACAGATATGCAACTGAATTTCCTAAATTATCTAAAAAAAACAAAAAAAAAAAAACAACAACAAAAAAAAAAACAAGAAACCCTAATCCCTCGGATGATATGCGAGGACTAACCCAAATCTCCCGGGCGGATGCTAGACTATCCCATTTGCGAGGACTAACCCTTATCTCTCGGATGGATGCGAGACTAACCCTAATCAGTTGAAAACTTGTGCAAGGACTAACCCTAATCTCTCAGGTGGGTGCAAGACTAACCCTAACCAGTCAAAAATGTGCAAGAATAACCCTTATCAGTTGAGTGACGTAAATCTTACGTCATAGTGCAATGAGCGCGCGGATCTTGCGGATCTGGGGACCGGTAAAGTAAAGTCTACCCAAACAAAATATGAGATTTTATTACATTTTCAACAGTGAAACACTGTAATTTATTTACTGAATAAAAGTGATATTCTGACACAGTGAGAAAGGATATCAAAATATGGTATTCTCACAGTGAGAATATCAGAAGTACGGCAAAACTCACGGTTTTCCTTCCCTTCACGAAGAGTGTTTTTTTTTTTTTTTTTTTTTTTTTTTTTTTTTTTTTTTTAAATCACTGGCCTGTTATAAGATAGAGTTAATGAACCATCCTGACAGAGACTGATAGTTATGCTACCAAGGTTTTTCCAAATATGTCGTTAAAAATCCATGTTTACAACGTTTTTCAATCTCGCAATCGCTTAGCTATGACGTTTCAACCGCTCAACTATGACGTCACAGCCTATGATACTGAGTAAAGAAAAGACAGAGGCAAAGGGAATAACTAAGAAAATGTAATAAACAGAAAATTCAATGTTTTGTAGATGAATATGGAATTTATTTCACTCGTGAGACAGGATTTTTTGATATTTTCACTCGTGCTTCGCACTCGTGAAAATATCAAAAAATCCTGTCCCACTCGTGAAATAAATTCCATATTCATCTACAAAACATTGAATATCCTCTATTTATGTTATGTGTGGTATCGCCTTACGGGCACGGGTGATAACCTCAAAGTATCAAAAGAAGCGTTAGATGTACGCTTCCTCTTTGTTAAAAAAAGATTTTCCCTTTATTCCTCCATAAACAGTCGTGGAACCAATCTTGCACACACATGGGAACTTCTGAAAATGTATTAGTAAGTTATTGACGGTACTATCATTCAACTAAATAGGCTATCTTATATCGGCGGTCTCCACTGACAGCGTCTTTCGCTATTGCCAGTAGCTGTTTATCCGTATGTTTGTTCTACCCGTGGACTAGATCAAAAAGCTCCCGCTTTAAAAACTCCCCATTTCACTAAGGTTCTTCTGTTGTCATTTAAAGTCTCTTAGGGCGTCATTACTACATTTAATTAAACTGAACTACTCTCCGATGCGCTGTAACGTCGTGTGTTGTGTTTACCACTTTCCCATTTCAAATGCTCGGAAAACTGCCAGAAAAGGAAATGCCTTAAAATTTTCCAAAATACGACATAAAAGATAGTGGTTATAAAATTAAATAGTTAATATCCCAACTTTGTCTATTTATACTTTTTATTTCGAAATAATACTCATGTATTCTCTAATGAAACCCTGGTTTTTTGATCGTGCGCTGTAGGACCGCACCCTGTGTACATTCAAGCATAATGATTTTATTTTTGTCTATATTTTATGGAAAAATTTTTTAGATGGACTTAAGGGAGCCGACTGGGGTTTTATTGTGTGAAAACTACTATAGGGAAACTCTTTAATTTTATACTATATGTACCTTACATTGACTTCAGTATATATGCCAAGTTTAGTGAAAATCTACCGTCTGGTTATTTTTTAGGGACCATCTTAAAATACAGGTACATTTACTATAGGATTATATAGGAAAATACCATTTTTTCGCACTTAGGAGAAAATTATACAAATACTACTATAGACTTTTTGCTCAAATTACATTATTTGATGGATAATACTATATTGTACATTTTGGGCAAGAAACACAAAATTCTACCGTTTGGTTTCCAGAGGGGGCATCTCAAAATTCATGATATTTTCCTGTTTTTATTGTGTACAACAAAACATGACATATACCACAGATTTACATAAAAAGTTATAAAAATGATTGCTAGATTCTCAATTTCCTATATTTAGAATTTCAAGAGCATATGTTTTAT